CATTTCGGGATTTTAGTATACAGATTTCGACTTGGGGAGTCAACTGTTAGTGCAATTGTTAAGGAAACATGTGAGGGATTTCAACTATACTCAAATCATCGTATAAGCCACAAATTGACACTAAAAAAAGTTGGGATAAAATTGCTCAACAATTTTATTCTAAATGGAATATTCCAAATTGTGTCGGGGCGGTCGACGGGAAGCACGTTTCAGTTTTTTGCCCCAAGAATTCGGGATCTCTATACTTCAATTATAAAGGGACATTTTCAATTGCACTTATGGCAGTTGTTGACGCAGATTATAAGTATATTATGGCAGATATAGGTGCATATGGTCATAATAGCGATGGCGGTATATTTGCAAATAGCAATTTTGGAAAATTATGGTTGACCGACAATCATTCGACTTTACATGTTCCAGAATTTAAAAAGTTACCAGGCACTGAAGTATGCGTTCCATTAGTTTTAATTGGCGATGAAGCATTTCCATTAAAAGAAAATATTTTAAGACCGTTCCCCGGGAAAAATTTAACAGAACGTGAACGAGTAACCAATTATAGAATTTCAAGAGCCCGACGCGTCGTAGAAAATGCTTTTGGCATTACAACACATAAATGGCGAGTACTTCTTAAAAGAATTGAAGTTAATGTAGCTTTTTCTACAAGTATTACATTGGCATGTTGTATTCTACACAATTTCGTTACAACAGGAAAAAATCAAAATACCTATGAAAATTCTGAAACTCACCCAACAATTTATGAAAACATACCATTGCAAGCAGTCAGATACAATATGGTTCTAGGTCACTTTGTACGGTCGAGCATTAAAAGTGCGAAACGCGGACACTTTGTACGGTCGGGTAAAAAGGTACATTGCAGAACGCGGACACTTTGTACTATTATATACATAAAGTATATATATTATAAATATAAGTTATATACCTAAGTAGTAAGTATATAATAATATTATAAATTATAATGTAAATTATTAAAATATAAAAATTAAAAATTAAAAGTAAATTGTTTATCGTATATTAATAATGATCAAAATAATTTAATAATCAAACAATCAATAATATTATTATAAATCTTAATTGTATTATAATATTAGATATCAGTTTTAAAGCAAATTAAAAATGTGTACAATATAAATATGTCATAATGACAAATAAAATATAATAATGAAAAAAAATCATTAAAAACTACATGCATAGTACCTATAATATGGAAATATCTCAAAATGACAAGTAAAGTATAATATTGACAAAAATTTAAAAAACTACATGATATTGTATAGTATAATAATATGAAATTATGGCAAAATGGTATCAAGCTTAGATAAAAAGTGCACATACATAATTATTTAATATTAAGGGTTTAATAAATCAATTTTAGAATAATTCGTCAAAATGAACGATCTATAAAATATCAAATTTCCATTCTTTAATATTTAAAAAAATCTTTAAAACCTACATGTATAATATGACAGTGTCTTAGTGAAATGCATTTATAACATTGCAAAAGGTTAGATTCCCCAGATTATATAAAATGTATTTATAACATTTTTAGTAAAATTTGTCATATATAATATATAGTATTATTTACTTGCTAACCTAGGTATATAACTTATATTTATAATATATGTACTTTATGTATATAATAGTACAGAGTGTCCGCGTTCTGCAATGTACCTTTTTACCCGACCGTACAAAGTGTCCGCGTTGTACATTTAGAACAATGGACCGTACAAAGTGACCGTTTACCAAATAAATCGATAATTTTTTTAAAATGTATTTCTACTTATAATTGACGTTAACATGTGTTATTGTTAAGTAATTTAATTTAATGTAATTTAATTAAAATAATTAAAACAACTAAATATTACTTACCGTCAGCTTTAAGCTCATTAGCTACTTCTTTCCATACATCTTCTCTGTAGTTCGAATTTTTATATGATCCTAGACTTTTGTCATAAAGTATTGGCCTTTTTTCTACTTCAATTATAAGGTTTTCTTCCATATTAAAAATATTGTTGTCTGTCAGTCAGTGGTCGAATAACGTACCTATAACGAAAAATATTATGTGTTGAACTCGAAAAATATAATAACTAAGAAATAATCGAATACAAATATACGGTACGTTCGACGTATTCAACTGATAGCAATTTCAAATCGTACGTCGACGCGTCGTACCAACGTATACGGTTTTTGACGCGTCGTATCCAGTTTGCGGACTCGTATTTAAACACGTATAGTCCGCGACAGGAAAAGTGGCCCCTGCCCGCCACGAACCTAGCGGCCGTTTCGCCTCAGTGGTGCGTAACGTAACTAAACTTATTGCCGCGTTTTTTTGAATTAATAATTAATTTACTGAAAATACTTACAATATTTTATAAACCAATAATTTGTATATTCAAACCAAACAAAAAACATTAAAAAATTAAAACAAATAAGACAAATAATACAAATATTTTATTCTCTGTTTCCTTCGTCATCATCTTGATCGTCGTCGTCACTCCAGTCACTGTCATCCGGAAGTATGGTTAGAATTATCGGTTCGATCATGGTGTCTCGCATAATTTCTTTTTTGTTGTCTTCAATTTGAATTTCTTCTGCATGACGGACGCATTTCTTCCAATCATCTACTGTCACTGCATCCAATGCCTCATGTTCAATGTCAACCATTTTAAATGTGTTGTTTTTTTTCGCCACTTCGCCCTTCACCTGAGCCCAAATTAACTCTATCGGATTATATTTGCAATGGTAAGGTGGTAGACGGATTACCTCATGACCCTTTTCCAACGCGATTTCATCCAGCTCGTATTTTTTTTCTCGTGGCATTAGGTACTTTACTTTTTGACGAAGTTCCGGTAATGTTTCTAATGGATGAAATTCAACGTTTTTATCCGTTAACCATTGTTGGACGTCGGCTTTTCTCCAATTACTTTTGGGGTATGATTCTTTGAGAGCAGAATGATATGGTGCATTGTCCATTACAATAACGGATGGCTCTTCAAGGTTATTCAGCAATTGAATAAACCACTGCTTGAACACTTCACCATTCATTTGGTCGTGGTAATCGATTGTATTTCCGCTGTTACTTCGAAACACCAATTTCGACCCTTCAATGAACCCGTATCGAGCACATCCTGCGTGACATACAATAAGCCGACCTCCTTTTCCAGTTGGTACCTTTAGACCCATCGAATTGTGTTCATTTTGCCAAATAAGAGTGCGTGAATGATTTTGGTTTACAACAGGGCGATCGTCTTTTTTTTTCTCGCAGCATACTCATCTGCCTTAAAAATTTACACCGAAGCGCGAAGATATCGTTCCTCTCCATTAAAAACAAACGACCATCGTTGCATTTTTTGTAGCTAAATTTTAAATTTTTAAGGAGCCTTTGCATCGATCGAACACACCCGGTATAATTTGTTTTTTTTCTTACAGCATTGAGTATTAATTGAGCAGTTGGGTACTCACCCCGGTCATAAAACTCGTAGACAGTCCTCCTCACAATATCGGAATCAAAATCATCAAGCTCTGAAACCATTTTTGCGCGTTTGTATCCTTTACGCGGAGAAATAAACGTAGGACTCGCATCTGGTGTTTCTGGATCATCACTTTTTCTTGCTTCAGCACAAATTCGTTTTACAGTACGATGAGATATTCCACAAGCTTGGGCTGTAATGACTTGAGCACTTTTAAAAAAATCAGCCGTTAAATCTGATTTCTCTGACAGTTGTTTAAAAATATATACACACTATAAATAATTTTTTTACTCTGGCTATGAATATCTTTATCGACAAACGACATTTTTAAATAATTTATACACTAACGTTAAATGGTTACGGAAGAGAAAAAGTAGTGTAAAAAATTGTTGTTTACGAACTGACAGTGAACTACAGACAAAACGATATAACACGAGGGTCATAGGGTCTGTACTCTGTATGTATTATGTGCATCACTGTATCCCTACCACAGTACGTTTTGCAGCTGTCTTCCAGACACTCCAGTAAAAACTGGTTTTTTAGTCTATATAGTCTGGACAGCTGTAATACGTAGATAGCCGGTAAGGTGCCCCAAAAAAACAAATCAACTATGTTTCTTTTTATATTTGTAAATTGTGTATTATACAAGTGGCGCAGCCACGCAGTATGCAGCATATGTTGAGAACCAATGGCTCATGGGTGGGGAAGCAGCAACGGGTCGCGGTACACAGGGGCCACTTTTCATGTCGCGGACTATAGGGTTTAACTCTTTCATGCACAGTGTTTTATAATTATTTTGACCTATAATGCACAGAAGAATTTTTTTTAGAAAAATCATGATTTAAGTGGTAAAATAAATTATTGTTCAAATAAATAATAAGACTTTAGTGTTAAAAAAAAATTAAAATTTTTTTTTAGAAAGTTATTGTAGGTGGGATGACGTATGTCTCACCATGCATGAAGTGTTAATATTATATGATATATTACCAAAGTACACAAATATCATAAACATACTTTTTATTATAATATATTTATTGCAGGGGCGTACCCAAGGGGTGGTCAGGTCTGGACCCCCCCTCCATTGATTAACAAAATTTAAAATTCTTGAGGTGCAAATTACTTATTGTATACTTTTTACATGTCAAAAAAATTTGGACCCCCACCTTTAAAAATCCCTGAGTACTCCATTGATTTATTGGATACCTCACCTATATTAGTTGAATATAATTATATAATAAATGTATTGTATTATATATTTATGCGCATAATTTAGAGATATTGTCATGTAATATATTAGTATTAAAAAAAAACATACGTGTCTTAGAAAACTACATAGTATACTTGTGTTCTTATATTAATATTAAAATATTGAGCAGACGTATATAAAAGAAAATATTCCACAGATTATTACTTATAAGTTGTTATACCTACTGCACTTATATATTATACCATAAAATTAAAATTACATTAATAACTTAATATTAAAAGATAAAAGACAATAAAAATGTACTATTATGAATTATGATATAATGCAAAACAATTTTTTTGTTTTGCCAAACACAGAGAAACATTGCATACTGAAAATATCCACTCCGTTCTAATTTCCTTTTCTTTAGTACTGCATCTTGCACATCTCCTCCTTGTTCCTCTTTTAGGTTGATGAGCAGCTTGCTCAAACCTAATTCTAGAATTTACATGTGGTTTATGTTTTTTAACAGCTACAGTTTGTTTTTTTGAAACGTTATGAATAGATCGTTTTTCGACCAACGTTTTTGAAACCAAATCGTTAGATATTTCACGACGAAAATGTTTCATTGTTATATTCATACCTAAATTGAAAATAAAGTATTTATACAATTATAACAAATAATACCTAAAACAATAATTTACATATAAGCAAAGATATAGTTACCTGATTGTAACTTATATAGGACGTAAGAGTTGACTACTGCTGCATCGATAAAATGAAAAAAAAGTCTGTGCCACCATTTTTTAGCCTTTCGATCTATCTGACAGGATTTCTTATTCTGGTCAAATTTATCTACACAGTTCATATGTTTGTTGTATTCACTCAATACTATAGGACATGATACCATTGTAGTTGAACCATCTTTAGATCGTCTTTGAACTTGTGTGGTTTCCGTTGGATTGTGAAAATTTGACAATAAACTCACTATTCTTTTGTCACGCCACTTAACAATCGATGTAGATTTTTCATCTATAGACCAATCGTATTCACCCAATGTTAAATGCTTATCATTTTTCAAAGCTGGTTAAAATTTTCTTGTAAGATTGACTGTTCCACATGCATTTATATTTTTTGATTTTAGGTATGTCATTAGTGGGTAGCTGGTAAAATAGTTGTCGAAGAATAAGCAATGATTTTTTCCTTGTAAAGGTTGCGATAGTTGTTTTACTACTCGAGCACCCAATTGTTTTTCAGCCTTTTCCCCAACTTTTCCCGTATAAATTTCAAAATTCCATAAATAACCTTGCTTGTCAACCAAACACCAAATTTTAAATCCTCTCTTTATCGGTTTTTTTGGCATATATTGTTTGTTAGAATTTCGACCCGTGAATTTGACCATACTTTCGTCTATTGCAATTATTTTGGAAGGATTATACGCCCTTTGAAAGTTGTTTAGTAAAGTCTGTATAAATGGCCTAATTTTGTATAATTTATCATACCCAGGTTGATTTTTTTTCGGAATAAGCGAATTATCATTCAAATGTACGTGCGATAATAACCAACCGAAGCGATTTACTGGCATTAAACAACTTATGTAAGAATCGTGCAAATCGGGTGATGATGACCAATAGTCCCTATAACTGCATTGCTTCTTGATACCCATTAGAAGTTGCATTCCAATAAAACATTTAATTTCAGACATATTTGTTCGCATAAAAGCTTTTCCTGTTTTCAATTGTTTTTGATATGCATATAAATTAGTATGATGAACTATTTGGTCAAAAATTTCATCAGTAAATAAATATTTAAAAATGGTTGTCGGTGTACACATTGATAAATCATTTAATAATGTTGTAGGGCCCTCTGGACTTGAAAATGGAGAAACATTAAAAATAATGTCATTTTTTTTTGACCATGTAGGAGATAGAAATTGAAAATCATCTTGCTGGATTGGTTGAGTTTCAATCTCGGTTTCAACTCCTTCAATATTTACTGGACGTAATGGTGTAGATCCAGAGTTGGACTGATAATCATTATTTAGATCTGAAGAAGTACTATGTAAAGAATGAAAATCAAAATCCAACGACACATTTTCGTTATTCAAAGATGCATTTTCAGAACCGGAAAATAATTGACGATGTGTTGCTGTCCGAGATCTAACTTCAGTTGTTTTTGATACACATTTTCGACGAATTGAACTACGAGTATACTTTTTTTGCTTTATTGGCGAGGGTAGTAAATAAATATTTCTATCGTCTAAGTTCAAAATTTCTGAATTTTCATCGTCACTAGATTCAAATAGAATGGGTTTCGTTTTCGAGTCACCAGAAGGTGGTATATAATCATTATCATTATCAGAGTCATCACAAGAAGTTATACTATTATCATCGGACGGGATTTCTTCAAATAAGACATCACAAATTTCAATAATATTTAGATGAGAAGTCATTTTTGAAACACTAAAATATAATATAATATATTTTAGAATAATGCAAATTTAAAAAGAAATTGCTTTTTTATAAATAAAGCATTTGGAAAAATGTTATTTACTTACACGTATTTCAATAATATGCATCCGTGATAAAATATGATAGGTAATTAATTTATTATTAAATGTAACATTAAATTATGAATATAAAATAATTTGTAAACTTATACATATTACGTGTACAGTGTACCTATGTGTTTATAAATTTAAATTTCCAAACACTAAAATATAATTTTTATATGGTATATTATAGTATACGGCGCACGGATAATACTTACGTCTTGACAGTTGCTGCACGGTGGGTTAAAATCAGTACTCCCGACTTTTACGTCATACCAGACGAACCGCTATCGATAAAATGATTTAATTTGCACTGAATGACACTATACAATATAGTTCATCATATGAAATAATATTGTTCATATGTATAAACTATATAGTGAAATATGAGCCCATCAAAATTATAAGAGGCTAGTTATTGTAAAAAAAAAATATAAAAACCGAAAACCAGCTAATAATAACACAAAATTCATTAATTTTAGATTTATTCTGGTACTAATATATACATAATAGGCTATTAAAGCTATTTATATCATTTAATGAAGAAAAATAAATACAAGTAATTGGGAAAAAAATATATTACTAGGTGGGTTATTTTTCGTACCACCGTGCTGGAAATGTGATTTTCGAGGTGGGACAAACGGTATCCCACCGTGCCTGAAAGAGTTAAAAAGAGTACGTCAACGTACGTCAACGCAACGGATGCCGACGTATCTAGTGTGGGAAGGCCTTAACGCTCTGGGGAGACAACTCGCGTACTACTTGGTAGCGACGATTATACGCGCAATATTAGGCCCATTCATAAAATCGTCAACAACCTCCCCCCCCCCCCCCCCCGAAGGTTTTAGTAATTTTTAATAAATGTCGGTAAATTTTACCGGGTAAAATCGAAAAATGAGCAATCAAATTTTTAGTTTATAAAATATATATAACTCACACTCCACACACATATACATATACATATACATTATGATTATAATATTTAATTTATAGTACCTACCTATTTAATAGGCAAAGAATTATTTTCGTTGGCACTTTTGCAGTATTACCTATTGCGTTAATTGTAAAATATTCAAAAAAATAAAACTTCAAACTACTTTAATATTTTACGTATGGGTACCTATCAGTAATAACAATATAAATTATAATCATAGCCATAATAGAATATCTATGATTATAATATTGAAAAATGATAAGCATAATATGTTATAAATAGAATATGAAATTAGCTAAAATAACAACAATATTATTATCATACCTTGTTATTAATTATTTTGTTATATTTTTTAAATTAAAATTGTAATTGTTTTACATTTAATTACCTATAATTGCAAATCACTTCACAAATGGCTGATGTAATTATTAGATGTGGTTTTCAATCTGTGTTGTGTAATTTTGAATTTCCTAAAAATAAAGGGCAAAAGTTAGTTGAAAGTGGGCATTTGTTTGATGTCAAAGAAATAAAACCTAAGCAAACCAAACATGTTATAGCTTCTTGTGTTTTCCTAGTGCATTTATCATCACATGCGCCAAATAATGCATGTATGGTGTTACCTATTATGATTATTAATCCTCTTTTCTTTCTTCGTTTATCTTCCTGGTGACATATACATACGTTCTTTCTGTTTAGTTATTTCATTATATAAATCTGTAATTACAATTTGATATTTTCCACATAGATCTTGGTGTTTCTGGTGAGTACGTATATTTGTTATATTCTTTATTTTTTCCCCCAATAGTTCATATTTCGTGTTATATTCTTTTAATGAGTAAAACATTACAAGATTGTATTGAGCCCCTATTAATCTAACTGGCCCCAACCCTTCATATTGTATACCCCTGCCAACTCCGTAAGGCGTATAAGAGAAGTACTCTGATGCATTTATTTCGTCAGAGTCGACAGTATTGACTAGAAAACTCGTCACCATCACCAATCTAAAAGTACAAAGTATATTTATATTAAACTAACTATCACATGCTGATGGATTTGTTGGCTGCGACGTGACTTATTTGTTTTTTTGATGGTTCTTCTTGGAGTTGTCTTCTCGGAAGAGTGTACAATTCTTCTTTGTTGACTGTAGCCTTTGACGGGTTGCCTCCTTTGAAAGAAATCCTACATCGACTTCGCCAGTGTTACGTACGGCCCTTCAGGGATCCAAAAGCTGTTGCACTTTTATAATAAAATATAGTCAATTTAAATATGAATCTATTGTAGTTTATTAAAACCAATAATAATTAATGTAGTCGCGGTGAATTGTAATGCCGTGAGTTGACTCGTTGTAGTAGTCGATAATCTCCGTGTAAGTTGTGTGTAATGGCTGGTGCATAAGCGGCTCGCTCGGTCTTGGCGGCTCTGGTACATCTAATGTTTATCGTAGCCCTGGCCTCTATATATACGATGGCGACGCCCTTTGAATTGAGCGGCGCGTGGCATGTAGGCGCCCTTGGGAAGTTGTTGTGATCCGAAGCGTCTATTCTAGCTATGACCACTTTTGGGTGCGGTCGACGAGGCTGCCTTTCATATAAGTGGTTCTTTTTATTATGAGCGTTTACATGAATTGCGTAATCCCATTACAGAATATTGATATTTAATTTTTGAAATTCGTTTTAGATCACCTCAGTCACCTCAGTAAAAATGTCCATATAACCGTCACCCAGCTTTCTAATAACTTGCGCCCTACGAGGAAATAGAAACCAAATATCCTAACGAATTTGAATAGAATTCAGAATTCTATTCATGAATATTCGTTGGGGCTGATAACCATGTGGCAATTTCTCTGCCGTACTGCACATGTTACCTCAGCCTATGAACAACAGCAGAGGAATTGGGCGCTGCAGTGGAAGCAGAAAGATCACCACCACCAGAAGCAGCAGTTGGAGCACTACTACCGCCAGAAGCAGTAGTTGGAGCACCACCACCACCAGAAGTAGCAGTTTGAGCACCACCACCACCAGAAGCAGTAGTAGCAAGACCACCACAACCAGAAGCAGTAGTAGCAAGACCACCACTACCAGAAATACCATCAGTACCAGTAAGGCCAACAGCAATAGCAAGACAACCATCAGAAATACCACCACTACCAGTAAGGCCAACAGCAGAAACAAGACCAGCATCATCATGAGTTCATCCTTATTACCATCAAGGTAATAATAATATGTACCTAAATATAATTTAAAAATAACTTATTTTATTATTAGCAGTGGACGTTTTGAACAAGAGTACCTTATTGAAAAAAAGTTTTTTTTTTGTCCTAGCATTATTAGGTACTTAGTTCAAATAGTTTCATTATTGTTTTATATACCTGAATTTACCTAAAAATATAGTTAACAACCATTCAATTTATAGGAAATCGCAGACAAAGGTCTAATGCAGCTGAAGCCTGGACCTGGTTCTATGCCAAAGACCTAAATAGTAATACATTATTTTTTTTAAATAAATACAATTGTAAGACCTGTCACCTAATAAAATTCAATCATTCACTATAATACTTTACACCAGCGATTCTCAATCTGTGGGTGCACGCAAATAAAATAAATCTCTTATAAGAAAAAAATAAATGAATTTGATATTATTATATCAAATATTATATTATTATTTATATATTAAAAACTGTTACTCTGTCTTAATTTAGTTAACTGTTGTATAACATACGTTTTGCTGCTGTAAGTTTGTTTTTTTTTTTTTGTAATTGGAGCTTACTTCATATGAAATAAATTAATAAATTAATGGCCCTCACTTTCAACAACTAGTAATACATACATCACATTTTTAGGAGTGATGGTAGATGAGACTCAGGAGCTGGGTGCGACTCAGGGGCTGGGTGAGACTCAGCATGGAAATGAAGAAAGTAAGATAAATTAAATTAAGTTGTACCTATGGAATTTATTTTTAAATATTTAAGTTTATTTTTTAGTCCTTGAAGTATGCGTCATTTGCTATTGTGAGGATTTGATAGTTTTGTGGACTACCAAAAACCACCCACAACCGAAGGGGAACACTTCGGTCTTGACCTGTGAGCCGCACCGCTTGAGACCCGAGGGTCAAGTCGGTAGAGCTCACAGGCTTTGTACACGCATGGGGTAATTGTTGAAAGTGAAGCTTGACGGACTAATGATGTTAGCATTAATATAATAAGTAATAACACGACAATATGATTATGTATAAGTATAATATATAATAACGTACAACTGGACAATTAAACTGTGACTATACACACACACCGCGTACACTCGGTATGACAGCGTCTGTGCAAGTGAATATTACATACATCAAAAGCCCTATATATATGAACAATCGAGGCCATCCCGTATCCGTATATAATATAGAAAGCGATAGTAAAGGTGTTACACAGCTATATCGTAACTGCATAAGTATCTATTAGAAAACGACATTGTACACGCACGTGTGTTTACATGGTTTGAATACTAATATTAATTGTATATTTCAACACCCTCCCTCAATTAATAATTTCTTTAATTGTAGTCACTCCTATGGCTGACCGCAACTTCTCGAATCGTTCCTTAACCAAAGGCTTAGTTAGAATGTCCGCAATCTGGTCCTCTGTTCCAATGTACTGTAGTTGGAATTGTCCTTCTTCGTATTTCTCCCGTATGAAATGATATCGTACGTCTATGTGTTTTGTCCTCTTATGAAACTCCGGATTCTTAACTAAACGAATAGCACTCTGATTATCAATGAATAATACCGGTTGTTTATCACCTGTTTTTGATAAGCTTATTATCAACCGCGTAATCCACATGATCCCTTTTACAGCTTCACTGGCCGAAATATATTCAGCCTCGGTCGATGACAATGACACACAATGTTGTCTCTGCGATGTCCATGAAATTATGCTCGACCCGTATCTGAATAGAAATCCTGACGTTGAACGTCGTGTCTG